CTCGTCGTAGATAACCTGTAGGCCTTCGCAAATTCCAGTATTCTGATCACGGTAACAACAGAGTATACCAGTCACCTTGTATTATATAAGTAACTCTAAAATGTTGGAAAAGGGTGAACACAAACACTTATCCGGTCATAAAGCCGTTGTTGGTTTATTATCATTAATGTTATTACTACTATTATTATTATTTAAGGTGTCGAATCTATTTATAGCCAAGAAGTAATTTTCTGCAATCTGCGTCGCCCTGTCACGCAAAAGCAAACAAAATATAAATCAAACTCAGGAAAGAAAATAAAAGAAACCGGAAAAGAAGTAACTCGAGCTGTGTATTTTCTAAGATGAGAAAAAGATATGCCTGAGCAACAAACTTACTTAATTTTGTTTTCAAATTGCTCGTCATGCAACATCTAATCCTATTGATAGTTTGCACGGATGATTTTGAACCGGCGATACGGCTCAAAAATTCAAACCATAGGAGATGGATGCCAGAGGGTGTGATTGATTAATGCTCGATCCATAAATTTTAGTAATAATTAAATGAGCCATATCTACAAGCACCGCGGTGAAACATTCCGTAGCTCACTATAAGGCCCATTTTCACCTTCATTACAACTTAACGTCGATTTGAGTGTCATTTAGAAATGGGTGTTACCGCTGGAATTTGTGCATAGAAGGCTCGATTTATTCCTTTCGGTATTTACTTCAGGGTCACGTAGACCTGCCGAAGCGTAATAATTAAGTTCGGATTAATGCGTTCTAGAAAAGGTGAGGTCATTTTGGAGGAAAACTCTAAGAAATGAAACAATAGCGCAATAAAGTGACCTCAAGCGGCTGCGTCTACAGGCGTATCCTCTTTGTTTTAACGTGTCAATGAACGCCAAAGAATAATCGAGAACAATTTACGAAAGATATTAAAGTTCACACGGCAACCAGGTGGACAATCAGACATGGTTTGATGCTACTCTGATTTTTTTTTTCTAATCATAACCACTAATCGGCGTTACCACCAGCGCCTCCAAACAAAGGCGCTAAAGGCGCTTTTTTTTTTTTTTTATTCATCATAACCACTAATCGGCGTTACCACCAGCGCCTTTGTTTGGAGGCTTGGCATATTAACTCCGCCCGCGCTGCTTTAAATCGTGACGATGGCGGCTTGCTTCCTGACGCCTATTTACACCTCGTCAGAAAAAAAGGCAGCTAATTAGTGATCGTCTAAAAGGACCTCTTGTTGCAGCGTTTAGATCACCCCTGATGAAGGCACTAAACAGGAGTGTCGAAACGTTGGGTCTATGAATTGTAACTTCTTCGGTTACATTCATTAAATCTGTAAACCAGAGTAGCATCAAACCATGTCTAACATCTTATGACTTGAAGTTTTTTCGCTCAATGTTCTCACGTTTGATTTGTATTTATTAAAACAGAGTATTTTCAGAGCTTTAAAAAGAGACCTTGAACGAGCATATTTGATGACTGTAGGCCAAAGTTCGCATTTTACTTCTTATTATTGGCGTTGTAATTTATGCCCACCCATCTTTTACCGGCGCGTGTGAAGCATGAATTTCAGAGAATGACTATGGGGCGCCAAACCAGTCAATATTCCCTCTGTATTTATGTGACCCAGTTTACTTTTTATATGGTCAGTTCGACTTTTTATGCGGTCAACTTTTTACTTTTTGTATTGTTAACTTGAGTTTTTATAGGGTTAACTTTTTCTTTTAATAGGATCAATTTTTACCTTTTATATGGTCAACTCGAGTTTTTATATGGTCAACTTTTAACGTTCTATATGGTCACGTCGACTTTTTATAGGGTCAACTTTTTACTTTTTATATCGGTCAGTGTTAAGGCAGACTGCACATATCAGACTGCATACCGCAGACCAGGGGTTAAGTGCAGACTGAGGTTAAAATGCTGACTGAAGACTACAGACCAGGGGTAAAAGGCAGACTCGGTTCAAAAACAACCTGCTTCCCCGGAAAAACTTCGAGAGTGACCTGGGATCGTGGCCGCGTAAGTTGTGAGAGGCTGAAAATAATTGTCACGGCGATCAATGTTTCGAACTTCACGTCCTCAGATGGTTTTGGCGTTGGCATATTGTTTTAAGGTAAGAACACTTAGAAACGATTACTAATTAGCTGCCTTTTTTTCTGACGAGGTGTAAATAGGCGTCAGGAAGCAAGCCGCCATCGTCACGATTTAAAGGGGCGTGGGCGGAGTTAATATGCCAAGCCTCCAAACAAAGGCGCTGGTGGTAACGCCGATTAGTGGTTATGATGAAAAAAAAAATCATAACCACTAATCGACGTTACCACCAGCGCCTTTGTTTGGAGGCTTGGCATATTAACTCCGCCCGCGCTGCTTTAAATCGTGACGATGGCGGCTTGCTTCCTGACGCCTATTTACACCTCGTCAGAAAAAAAGGCAGCTAATTAGTGATCGTCTAAAAGGACCTCTTGTTGCAGCGTTTAGATCACCCCTGATGAAGGCACTTAACAGGAGTGTCGAAACGTTGGGTCTATGAATTGTAACTTCTTCGGTTACATTCATTAAATCTGTAAACCAGAGTAGCATCAAACCATGTCTAACATCTTATGACTTGAAGTTTTTTCGCTCAATGTTCTCACGTTTGATTTGTATTTATTAAAACAGAGTATTTTCAGAGCTTTAAAAAGAGACCTTGAACGAGCATATTTGATGACTGTAGGCCAAAGTTCGCATTTTACTTCTTATTATTGGCGTTGTGATTTATGCCCACCCATCTTTTACCGGCGCGTGTGAAGCATGAATTTCAGAGAATGACTATGGGGCTTTACCCTCAGTTTGCACTTTACCTCCGGTCTGCAGTCTGCGTTTTAAAAAGTGAAAAGTTGACCATATAAAAAACTCGAGTTGGCCATATAAATACTAAAAAGTTAACAGTATAAAAAGTCGACTTGACCATATAAAAAGTACAAAGTTGACCATATAAAAAGTAAACTGGGTTACAGAAATACGAAGGGAATATTGACTGGTTTGGCGCCCTATAACGTAGACTTAGGTTCCCTGAAAAGGTACCCCGTTCGAAAGCTCTTTGCAACCCACTGGGATTTTGCCGGAATCCTTCTGGCATCACCGTGGAATTCTCATAAGAATCTTACCAGGATACTGACAGAAACCTAGCGTTTCTGAAAAGGTACACCCTTACGAAAGTTCTTAGCAGCCCGCTAGGATTCTACTGGAATCCCCCCGGCATCACCGTGGGATTCTCATAAGGGTCTTACCAGGATACTGAGAGGAAAATTAGCGTTCCTGAAAAGGTAACCCGTAACACTGAGATAATCCTGTCATGCTAAGTTGGGTGGCGCCCTTTGGACCCCGCTGGGATCCCACCGGAATCCCCCCGGCAACACTCCGGGATTCTCTTGTCTAACAATCAAGAGCTTCTTTGATGGGTGATCAGCTCCTTTATTCTCCTGACCTCAATTTTTTGATTCAGGAGTAATATGGTAAGGAGAAATTAGATGCTAGTCACTCTTAGGGGTTAAAGGATTAGTGGCAAATCGGCGCACGCCAATGAATGTGAGGCTTTGAACAGTACAAGCGAGCGAGAGAGGTGGCACTAGTAATGAGGAAATTGTTAGTGCCAGATCCCCAGTAAACCTCTCCCCAACTCGTCCCAAATCGGCGGGCATGTAAAACACCAAAAATGAGGGCCCGCTGGAACGCTATCAATACTTCCACAAAGAAACGAATACACGGAGACATTCATTGGCGTCGAAAATTATTTTTAATGGTCCCTGATACGTAAACTACAAAAACTACATGGGATCACTTGTTTTCAGTGGTTGACGCTTGGAATACTCAGTGGAATCCTTTACCAGTCACATCTGTATTTGATCTGTGAAACGATACGATTAATTGCAAGTTAATTTCTTGTATATGTCCTCCAGGTTTGTTCATGCTTTAGTCTGTTTAGCCTTTTGCTTAAGTTCAAGGTTGTTGTGCAATTGTAAGTCTCGCCTTGTGTAAGTTTTTTGAAGACCAATTGATCATAATGAAATTTTCCTCACAATGAGTGAGTTACAACCTTGGTTACCACGGTTGGGAATTTTCAACCTGCCTGTCGTGAATTCCCACCCCCTGCAAAGCGTAAATTTGACAAAACAGCTTCAGGTACCAAAGTTCGTATTTTAGTAAAATCCATCATTGAAAGGAGAATAGAAGAACCCACGCCAGTTAAGTAGGTTGGAAGTCTAAATAGGATGTTTGTATCAGTGTTCGATACAATTCACCCAACATTGTAGTTTCTTTAATTCAAATGGTGATCTCTGGCAATTTTCATGGTGTAAAATGGAGAGAGGGGGGGGGAATGTGATGTTGTCGTAATGTGATGTTGCTGTAACTGTTTTCATATGCAGTTTACAAAGTTTTCAAAGGGAATGTTGACTGGTTTGGCGCCCTATAACGTAGACTTTGGGTCCCTGAAAATGTACCCCGTTCGAAAGCTCTTTGCAACCCGCTGGGATTCTGCCGGAATCCTCCTAGCATCTACGTGGGATTCTCATAAGGATCTTACCAGGATACTGATAGGAAACTTAGCGTTCCTGAAAAGGTACCCCGTAACACTGAGATAATCCTGTCATGCTAAGTTGGGTGGTGCTCTTTGGACTCCGCTGGTATCCCACCGGAATCCCCCCGGCAACACTCCGGGATTCTCTTGTCTAACAATTAAGAGCTTCTTTGGTGGGTGATCAGCTCCTTTATTCTCCTTACCTCAATTTTTTGATTCAGGAGTGATGTGGTAAGGAGAAATTAGATGCTAGTCACTCTTAGGGGTTAAAGGATTAGTGGCACATCGGCGCACGCCAGGGAATGTGAGGCTTTGAACAGTACAAGCGAGCGAGAGAGGTGGCACTAGTAATGAGGAAATTGTTAGTGCCAGATCCCCAGTAAACCTGGGGGCTCGCTGGAACGATATCAATACTTCCACAAAGAAACGAATACATGGAGACATTCAATGGCGTCGAAAGTTATTTTTAATGGTTCCTGATACATAAACTACACAAACTACATGGGATCACTTGTTTTCACTGGTTGACGCTTGGAACACTCAGTGGAATCCTTTACCAGTCACATCTGTATCTGATCTGTGAAACGATACGATTAATTGCAAGTTAGTTTCTTTTATATGTCCTCCAGGTTTGTTCATGCTTTAGTCTGTTTAGCTTTTTGCTTAAGTTCAAGGTCGTTGTACAGTAGTTAGTCTTGCCTTGTGTAGGTTTTTTGAAGACCATTTAATCATAATGAAATTTTCCGCACACTGAATGAGTTACAACCTTGATTACCACGGTTGGAAATTTTGCCAGTCGTGAATTTCGTCCCACCCCCTGTAATGCGCAAAGTTGGCAAAAAAATTTCAGGTACTAGGAATTGGTATTTAAGTAACATTCAACATTGGAAGGAGAGTAGAAGAACCCACGTTAGTTAAGTAGCGTGGGCTAAATAGGATGTTTGTATCTGTGTTCGATGTAATTCACGCATGATTGCAGTTTCTTTAACTCAAATGGTGATCTCTGGCAAACTTCTTTGTGTAAAATGGAGAGGGGGGGGGATGTGATGTTGCCGTCGTTCAAAACTGTCCAGTCTAGCATTTAAGAGCATGGTTGTGTGTTTCATGATCAATCATTCACTTTCCATGAAAAGATACGCCCCTGGTAATTTTTAGATCAAAGTTTTGTTTAGTGAGGACTGATAATATCTAAAATAATACAGTAAACCATAATCACCTCCAAATACTTCTTTGTCCCACGGCAAGGATCGCCAAACTGGCCGTTTGTTGCCTGCAAAAAGCAGCTTCGCTTTCCCTGGCACTTGCTCCTCACTTTATCAATCGACCCTGCAGCTCCACAGTTTGTGGTTTTAACTGGTCCCCAACATATATGCCGACCAGTTAAACGACCGTAATTCGCCGACATGATATCGATTTTCTTCGGGGCGGGGCACGAAATGTGCTGTGACCGTCCTTCGCAGATGCGAACGAGCTTATTCTCAGCGCAAAGAACAGTTTTTTCCACACATTCGTACTTCACCTGTGTATGGAAATAGGAACATCTTATTTTTACAAATTTTACAGAAACAGAACGAGTTTGATATTAGTAAAAGATCTGGATAAAGATCAATGTCCTTAAACGATTATTCGGAAAATGCTTGTGGTTGAGTCGCGATTGGCTGGCTGGTAACCAATCAGTGATCAGGCTAATTAGGTCACTTGTATCAAAGTTACCATGAGCTAAACAATTTCACCGTTGCAAAAAAAAAACAACACTAATCTCTGGAAGCAAGTATTGAAGTGATCCATGTCGATTGAATTTTACATGTGAAAAATATATTAGCTATTATTTGCAACATAAGAACTGGAGCGAATATTTATAATCTAAGTCTTAAGTTGTCCTTCCTCGAGCTGAACTCACCTTTAGATATTTGAAGGTTCCAACACAGGGGTCACCAAACGCTTCGTTCTTCGCGTACAGAGTACATCTCGTCTGTCCTTGACATTCGTATCTAGCGACGCTCATGGAGCTACCAGCATGGCAGTTTGTGCTTCTTCCGCGACCACAGACACCTTGTTGGGTGCGGCCATAGGATGCCCTCAGAATATTGATGTCTAACCCTCTGCAGTCAATTGTCATGTGCTTATGTTCGCAAACTGTCTTTTCCGCTGTGACAAAAAGAGAGACCATTACTAAGGGGCTTGGTTAACGTTTCCAAGATTAATCTTTTTTCATCTTTGTTTAAATTAGGAGAAAAACTTTATTTTCTGATTGATGAATTTCGGCCACGATGATTCTCGTGCATTGTAAGTAAAATTTTGAATTCCTAGCAGGGAAACTGAGGTAAAGACTAAACATGTCAAAATTTTTCACGAATGTGTCCGTTAAAAGTTCCTTCTCTTAAGTTGAGCCCGTCCACGTTTCTTATTACCTGTTCTGTGATATTACCTTGGTATTATATTTCTGCTATGTTTTTCTTGGAATCCTGAAAAACTTTAAGGCCTCTCCTTAGTGTCCATAATTTCTTTCTAAAGAGATCTGGAGTGTATTTTCGTGAGTTCGAAGAGCGGCCGAGATCACTAAAAAGACGAGGGGTAATATCAAGCCTTTTTTCTGGAAACTATACCTGCATTAGCAAATGCCACTGTGAGGAGGGAGAGAGCCAAGAAACCCAACATTTTTTTCCTTACGACTTGAACCTGAAAGAAATCTAAAACAAACCTCTGATTTTGAAAATCATAAAGCGTTCTTACACTTCTTAGAGCAAATATATACAATTATTGAGAGTTCAGTGAAATTTATTCGATAATAGTTTTTTATTTCTTGGAAAGAAGAATACTGTCTTCGCAATGTCTTCAGTTGTGGAAGGACATCTTTTTAGACACATTTCAAACCTTTTTTTGTTTCCAATTGTAATGCCTTTTATTGTGTATAGATTGTAAGTTTGAGACTTCGTGATAAGGCTGTCTAAATTTTATTGCGTAGTTTTCCAGTCGGATAAGTTTAGATCAAGTTTTTCTGAGCCGAAGTTCATTTAGCTCAAGGTGAAATGTTTAATTAGTGAAGAATTCTCTTCTCACCTTATTGCTTTGTTTTCCCTCTGAGTCCCTGAAATTTTTGATCCGTAGTCAAATACGTTAACGACACTGCGGTGAGAGAAACTTTGTATGCATCTTTATAAGACTACCAAAGGGCTTTGTTTGAACATATTCTAAATAGAAGGAATCTCATCTAAGTGTTGTCTATCATTTTCCACGTAAGTAAATAATTCATCTTTAAATGTTTCGTATAAACACTGTCACTTTTGCAAAGTCACGTACACATATCACGCACTAATACGATAAGATTTTGTTTTAGTAGTTTACTGTATGAATTCTCTAAAAACTCTTCTTTTGAGGAAAGATACACTGATGTGAGTCACTACACAAAAACTAACTTGGAAATTTGGAAATACTCACATGTGGCTGTTATGTAATTGCTTTATCTAAAAATACCTGTGGAATATTATTGTTTGTTTTTTTGTCTTGTCATTATGACTACTTGATGAATTGATTAGCAAAAACTAATAAATAAATTGGAAACATTCGTAATAGGAATTTTCAAGGTCAGAAATAGTGTCGGCTTCGGAGAAGTATTTGTGAATGGTGACTTATCTGTATTTCGGCCTTTTTAGGCATGGACCTGAATTTAATAATCGCTTAAGGGAGTTGTGCACATTCAGAGGTTCGGGTGTCACCGCAAACTACTTGTCAACTTCCCGTTTAGCTCTCCAGTTTAATGAGTTGTAGAATCAACTATTGTATAATTGCTGTGCGGCTTTTATTGAATTTATAGATGAAACACTTATCTTTTGTGTTCTCAATAAAAAACATGTTCATAATTAATTAAATGTTCACGGATCGTTTTACCAAGGTCATTATGAAATATTTGCTTGACAAAATATCTATGATGCTTCCCATGAACACTTTAACCCCAGAGAGTGACTGGTTTCTAATTTCTCCCTAAGTAACATGCTTGAATCAAGTATAAAGGTAACGAGAAAAAAGGAAATGATCACCAATTCAAGAAACTCCTGATTCTCAAACAAATTCTCCTTGTCAATACCATAGGAAATGCAAAGAGAACAGTGAGGAGAATATGAATATTGATGTTAGGGTGTAAAGAGTTAAGTATCGTTTCGACAATTTGATTTAGTTTTAATTTCCACGCAATCTTGGATCTTTTCATGTCTACAATAAGAAACAAAAAAAAATTTCGTGTTGGTGTGAAAAAAAGAATGTAGCTTCTGTGTTTTCCTTGTTGTTGTGAACAAAATAGAAAAAAATATTGTTGTTCTCTGCGTATTGTCGCGATTATTAACCATTGGCGTATTGGAGATTTTCAGTTCATGTGAGGGGAGGTTGGGGTTAAACTCGATTTATGAAGTTGTCTCAATTTTTAATCAAGAGGACTTCCATGTGGGACGGACGAACACACAACTGGATGAAACCGGATTGACAGGAATGCTGAGTCAGATTATGTTTAAGGAAAAGTCACTTCTATAAATTTTGGCTAAGACTTCTGATAAAAATGATTGAACATTCCCAAATTGCGGAGATCTTCGTACAAGTACGTATTTACTTCCGTATTTTCAGCCTCAAATCGCGACCAGTTTTATTCAGGAAAAGAAAAAGGTCATCAGCGTGGAGTTGAAGTGAAGTTTAATGATCCTTTTCACATAAACTCTACAAGCTACATTGGATCATTTCTTGATTAGTGGAGTCCAGTCTCTCGCGGGTGGCTGAAGCTTTTGATCACTTGCATCTGTATCGAACCTGTATTAAAATGAAAAAAAAGGCAATCGTCATTTTTATTTTCTTTTTTACTGCTGCCGAGACTTGTGAAAATAACAACAGCGAATGAGTGTGGAAAGTTTCTATCTATATATTCCCTAAGGCAAAAAGAATCCAGTTATCAACAAATCTATTCATTTAATTATGTAGTGTTAGCCGGATACCGGCTGTGTCACGCTAAAAGTTACCTGATTCCCCCCAATAAGGCTCTTTAATATTCCTATGATTCCCCTCGTTGGATGAGGTAGACAGTTGGATTAAGATAAATAGAGGGGATAAGTTTGTAAAGAAACTGTGGTGCTGCGTCAGTGGGAGGGTATAACAGGGTAATTTAGTATTACCCACTGAGTTGATAACGTAACTTGACCACCGTAAAGAGTTTCGCAGCTGACGTTTCGAGCGTTAGCCCTTCGTCTGTCACTCTGACGAAAGGCTAATGCTTGAAACGTCAGCTTCAAAACTCTTTACGGTGGTCAATTTACGTTATTAACCTAGCTGATAATACCAAATTTCCTAGTTGGATAAAAAGCTTCAATTCTCATGAAACTACCGAAACAAATGAGTAACAATCAGCAAGGGGTTGGTCAGAAGGTTGCTTAAATGCGCGCAACTGAGGACTTTCCTGAATAATTCTCCTCTAAGGGTGCGTTACATTCACTAACCTCCAGATATTTATATGTTCCCTGACAAGGATCACCGAAGTGGTGGTTATGTGCGTGCAAACTGCAACTCTGATCTCCATCGCAGTTCCGATACACATAACTGTACGCTGAAGTTTCGCAGGATGTAGTATATACCGAACCTGAGCAGACGTGTCCACCCGTCTTGCGGCCGTAAAACGCCGATAGGACATCGATTCTGTCACTGCCGTAACAACGAATGTCACCCCAGCTGCGTTCGCAAATTCTCTTCAGTCTTTGTCGTCCTCCCGTTTTACATCTATACGAGACCTGTGGATCAAGAATACCACAAAACTTACCTCAACTGCTTCTTTAAAGGAGGACAGGAGGTTACAGGATCAGGTGTCAGAGTATTCCTTTCTCTACCTTTTTCAATTCGACAGCCAACAACAGACGAAACATCAAATTGTTAAACTGGGTGTTCACCACTGGTTTCGAAAGTCATATAATCATTATTCTAGTCATATTAACATGCTATTGGTTATCACAGGACACTTACCATAAGCTTTCATACATTTTTTCCCACTTATGTTCTGCGAAAGAAATTAAGAGCTTCTACGGCCAGGGCTTTTGCTAGCGCCCATCAATTGGGCTTTAACTTGCAAATTTGGGCTGAAGAGTCCCTCCTTGTAAGTCATATACTTTAAGTTGTTCTTTGAACTTTGAACCTACCGTCAGATATTTCACAGTGCCAGCACACGGATCTCCAAAAGCTGAATTCGAAACGTAAAGGCTGCAGTATGATCGCCCGTCGCATTCGCCACTGACGTAACTCGTAGCACCGGTGTAACAGTTTGTATTTTCTGTACTTCCCCTCTCCGAGCAAACTCCCGACCGGTCGCGTCCGTACCATGCGCTTCGAACATCGATCACCCCATGGTTGCAGCTTAAGTACATCGTGTTCCGTTCACAGGTCCGGTCCCAGTATCCCTCTTAAAATATATGTTGGTGTAAATATATAGATTACAGTAGATTACATTACAATTTGAACTAACTTACTCAAGTAGGGGAAGGGAAGAACTAAACTCGGAACTCTCGCTTAGCTAGCTGAGGGCGGAAATCCGTCCTTACTTTCGGTATATGCGAGAATGGATTTCGGATAAACCTAGAGAACTTTCACAATACTTGCTTTACTCGTCTTTAATGCTTCAAAATACTCTCAGATGTAAGATCAATGCAAATCGAAGTTACAGTTTCGAAACTACCATTCACTTTATGTTAACGGCTACACAGACAGCACATCAGATAAAACCAACTATGAACTTTGAACCCCGCCTCCAGTTTGCAATAAAAGTAACCAACGCGTCATGCACATTTACGTGCCTCCGTTGTCTTCACAAAGTTCCAGAAAGTTTGGTAAAAATTATGATATAAATCAAATATTCTACCACGTCAACTACATCCGATAAAGTTACTAAAGAACCGATTCGATACAGTGGCATCAGTAACTCTGTGATTTCAATCAGAAGATCATATAATACGACAAGAACAATGGGCAGCTGTTTGTACTTTCAAGTATTTCAGAGAGGTTTTATGCAATAAAATCTCTATCTCTCAGTATTTTTAGCGGACCATTTTATCATACACAGTGCAATCATGATCTTAAGTATTTTTTTTACGTTGAAATGAAAGTGATTTTCCTTCACAGTTGTTAGCCGTGGAAAATACTGTTGTTGAAGACTGTGAGGGGAACCTTGAACAGATTTCAGCCATCTTTAAGTTATACAACACTGTTGAAATTCAGTGGGTAGACTATTGCGCTAACTTCGGAGTTGTTACACCCCCAAATTCATCGGAGTCTTGTCCGCAAGTGTGAGATCAAAACAGAAAATTCAACCCTTACCTGTGCAACAAAAGTTCACCGCCAGGAAAAGAAAAATTACCAGCAAACGTAACATCGTTATTCCGAAACGAACCTTGAGACTAAAACAGGAGAGAAATGATAGGATATTTTCTGGAATTATTTTGTTTGACCATGTTCGGGTGGTGACATAGACACACCACAGAGCTCAATTTTTCATCATTATGAGGTGACCAACCTATTCACGAACAACTTTAAGACTGCTAAGTGTTTACAAAGTTTCATAAAAATAAAAACTCTACGCAGCAACTTTAAACCAACTTTAACATCTCTATGTTAGCTTCTCTTACCTCTTGAGGCCTGAAAATTTTTGCAGTGCCGACAGGATGAAACTCTGTCCTATTATGGACAAAGAAGTAACTTGGCGAAGAAGTTATGGTCCTTGTAAACTGGTACCTAGATTCTTTCCTGATTCGGAAAAGGTGCGAGGGAACTGAAAACGAGCTAACTGTTTATTCCAGGGTCATCTGTTTCGTGCCATATCCGCGGAATTCAGATGTTATCGAAAGGACCCTCAATGCACTAGACTTACAAAAACTGTGCCATAGAATATAAAAATTGACTGATGGAAAGTTTTCTGTTAAAACTGATTGTCGCTCATACCTATGATTCAAGAGCTTCTTCCTCATACGAAGTTGCTGGAATGCGTTTTTAGGTCAGATGAATAAATAGCTGACTGTGAAGTGTCATCACAAAAGACCATAACGTAACTCAAGACACTTTGAAAAGATATTCTTATCAGGTATCCTGATATTTCTGTTCAAAGTCTGATTACTGAATAGAAACACGAGCTGCTGTCTAAATGACCGCTACAGGGGTACAAATTATCGTATGGCGGAGGTCGTTTTCTTTAAAGAGTAAGTAGAGAAACATCTGGGTCACGTAGGAGTAGGCGAACCTAATATCTTCCTTTTTCGCTGTCGGATGCCATATCTGAGCCAAAAAAAGACTAGGAGGTAAGATACGACATATCTTAAATTCTTATTTTACGAGCGTCCTTGATACTTCTCTGCAGCCTGCTTGTTTTCTGGTTAGAACTTTAATGAAAACGGAGGTCCTTTGCGTCGACATCGAGAAGGATCTGTTTCACTGCGTCTATGCACTCTAAGTCGGTTTGTTTCCTGCTCTGTGAATCTCCAGTGTCCTTTTGCGTGACTGTTGCTGGATCATAAGTTGTTATTTTACAAAGATCTGTATCTGACCTTTCGTGAGAGGAGATAAACTCAGTAATTTTTGACTATGCGGTGACTTTTTGAGAAAACAAAATCATGCTTAGTTACTATCTCTTTTTTGACCCCTCGCTCTTATTTTACAGATGTGATTGTTGTGATTGTACACAATGCAGCGCTCTTTCGTTGATTGAAGGTTGCTTACCACTCGTTATTGCTGGGGTTTTTCTTTTTTAATTTTACCATTAGCCAACTCACGTCAACGAATCAAGTAAGTGCGAAACTACGATTTGGTATATTATGTTTTCGTGCCTTTTTCCTGTATCTTTTTTGTAAATGACAATGACAGGTTTTCAAGTTAGATGAGAAAGAAATGAATAAAGATCAATGATGAAGTGAACAACAAGTTCAGACAAACACAGAAAATGTAATTTTTCAATTTTCAACAACATTTTGCGACCTCGACTCGTGAGGAAGTATTGTCGAGGATTTCCAGGATTGAAACAGTTGGAAACAAAAAGCTCAAATGAAAAGTTCAACATTTTTTCATTAAACAATCATAACTATCTAAATATTAAACGCGCAGCTGGTCGAAGCATTCTCTGTGAGGGTATTGTTCGTCTTCGAGGCAGATTGGCTGCTTAAAACACAGAGGCCTTGATATCATTTTCAACACCTAAACGCAGCCGAAGGACTGGGCTATTAGGGACCGGTTATCATTTATCGTCTGGGTAAGGGAGGGGGGGAGGAGGTCGGGGTTTGGTTGCACGTGTCATGAAAACGTTTACCTGATCCCCATTGGGTTCTGTGATATTCTTACGATCTCTAAAGTCCCCCTCTATGCTCTGTTGGTGGTGACTAAACCCCCCCTCATGTTCCCTCCTGAAAACCATTTGATCCCCAAATCTTCCACTTGAGAACTATTTGACCTCCAAAATCCTCCACTTCCCTCCCCCCCCCAGATATAAATCATGACTAGTCCGTTAGAAAGTTAAAAGGTGTGTCAACGCTGTTTCAAAAGGAGGGGGGTAGGGTGGAGGGAATTTGTGTGAGGAACTTCTCCTTCGCGTTGCTCACTGACATGTTTTAACAAATCCAGTCAGATACATCGCAACTTTGATTGACTAAATTAGATTTTAAAAAAACTTAAGTTACAATTCAAGAAATCCTAAATCATTCACATGAAATGTTTCGTTTCTCATCGCCCGACCGACCATTGTTTTTGATGAGCAAAAATATATTCACATCCTGTTACATTGTCTGACATGTAAATTTCGACAGTTAACTTATTCGCATTCACAAATTTATCAAAAGGCACTTGATCATGACTAAACTTCACGTAGGAATCGTTTACAAGTAATTTTTCAGTCTGTTTATTAGAGACTTTTGTGTTAGGACACGGACAAACGGACGTACAATTCCTGATCTCATCCGTGGAAACAAAGAAAAACAAAATTAAATCTAAGGTTAAAATTGAACCATAACGCCAATGCGAGGCTGAGCTACTGTCTCTAAAACTTTTAATTTAATAAGCATGTACCATTGTAGTGATACCGCTGGCTTAATGTCTTATCTGACTCCTATTCGATTACAAAAGATGATACAACTCAGTGTTTTTTCATTTGTGATGCAACAGCAGCAATGAGTGCTGCTCCTTTTCCTGAACCATCTTCAGATAGCATCAAGGTGATGTCGGCTTCCGGCAAAATTTCAGCGAGAGTCTCTTGCATGTAATTCTTGAACTGTGGGTGTCTCTTAAAGAGGCTTCCATCAGCGGCGATCGTAGTCGTGTAGTTACCGGTTTTCTGTGTACAAAATGAACACAGACTTTATCTATTAAAATCAATGAATGCATCAACAAAAGCAAGAAATAATTTTTACCAATCTAATTGACCATATTTTATGGTTACTTTCAAATTCGGAAAAAAGTTCAAATTGTGACCATTCGCATCGGAGATCAAAGTGACACAGGCATACCATGAGAACCAGAAACTATCGGCTATCATTTCTAGGTTTTCTCAATTCTGATTGGTGCTTTCTTATCACATGATAACGTACCAAAAACATTTCCTGTGTTCATGGTCTGTTGAGTTTAAGAGGAAGTAATCAGGGATGCAAATGAAATTATTATAAATGAATAAACAGATAGTCAAAAACTCAACATAGAAAAAAACTTGAAAGACGTCTAAATTCAAATTTTCAACTGAAATTTAAAATTACGAGGGTCAAGAAGATGAATGACAGTTTAGTAACACGCACCTTGACAATTGTGGCCACCCCTGCTGCAGCTACTTTAGCAGCCCTCAGGGATACTGCAGCACAAACTCGCTGCAAATTTTCGATGTCAGATTCTGAGGCTTGTTTCGCTACTTCCATTGCTTTTAACACCTCCTCTATCTTGTGCCCTTCTCGACTGAAAGAATTAGGAGTTGTTCTTATTGATCATGGAGATTATTATCCTATCATGTATACTACTATAATTTATAATCATTGAAATAGTCAACGTAAATTTAATAAAACAATGTTTTTCTCTACTCTAGCTCAAATACCTTTCAACCAGAGACACAAACTCAGCAGGGAAACTGTTTTTCTCCTGAATTTTTCTGTAACTTGCCCTTTGAAGAGGAGTTTCTTTTCGACCAGGTCCATGCAAACGATTCTGGCAAGTTCACCAAGATACATACCAGATATCATCTTCTCA